ATGTCACCTACACTGGCCATAAAGGTTCCCGAAAAGGCCTCGAGAAGGTCCATGGACCACCAGTTGATAATCACAGTTATAGCTTGTTTTGTGACTCTGGACATGTTTTATTGGTGCGTCAAGTAGCAGAAATGGCTCTATTGATCACAAAAGTTGCAAACCCCTGCCTTAGACCCTTTCAGATCAACAAGCTTGTTCTGTTGGGCCCACAAAGTAAGAAATGATAAATAACTTGTATAGAGTAATGCAGGAATCGTTTGGAGAAGAGTTACCCTCAGCCAATCAGAGCCCTCAACACCACTGTTGGTGCTGTGATGTCATAGTCTGACACCACAGCACCATACTGGAGTCCAGTTGGTTCACTTCTCACTCCCTAATCTTAGAGACATATGGGTTTATTTTTGCCAATCTTGGCCAAATGTAGACGTCTTTTTGACATCTCTACAAATAAGTTTAGACATTCACAACAGTTTTACTTTTAAATTTTAGCCTCATTAATTCTAATAATTTTGATGTGGATTTTCAACTCCTGGGGGGAAAAAAATCCTGAAACTCTCATATGAAGTATGTTTATAAAGTATGTTTTAACCAGTGTATAAAGTACCTCAAAGTGATACTTGAGTAAAAGTACAAGTATCTTACCATAAAATTACTTTGGTAAAAGTTCAAATCTCCTCTAAGAATATTACTTGAGTAAAAATCTCAACGTATCTAATATATTTTGTACTTAAGTATCAAAAGTAAATTTATGACATAAAATATACTTAAGTATTAAAAGTAAAAGTATTGAGTAGAAATGAGTGGCTAGACTTCCCAAATAACATTTATTGGAAGGTGGTGAGACTCTTAAAAACATTTTTCTAAAGGCCAAAATGGCTATATTGTTATCATATATTCTGCTTCAGAGTTTCTGCTGGTACTCTCAAGGTTGGCGATCCCAATCAGGCAAAATGGTGTGGACAAATTCCGCCGAGCCGAATCTATCTATCTATAATCAGTCTTTGGAAGAAGAAACTTTAAGAGCTTAGAAAGAAAGTTTATTTGTTTTTAATTAAAACATTTTGAATGGTCATAACTTGGATGACTAAGTGTTTACAACTCAGTTATTTTTGTTTTAATGTGTGTGTCTGTGTGTGATTTTGTTCCAGGGTGATGATGATCTGCTGACAGTATACATTGGAGAAATCTTCCTTGAATTTGTCAACATGCTACCAGCTTTCCAGACCTACTGCCTGCAGCAGTCCGCCTCAGTCAACTTGCTCAACACTCTGGAGAAAGAGAAAGAGCTGCTCAGGTATACACAAAACACAACTCTTCCTGTTAGTTCGTAGGATGGGAGAGTTGCTCTGGAAGCTTTCTCTTGTTTCTGCCATGGCTGCTCTGTGTAATTCTTTATGAAAAGACATTGGCTTATCACTTATTCAGAGGAAGGTCTATTTTTGGAGATGAGCTGCAATGATTCATGTTTRCAGAAAGAACCATGACTTTCCAATGAGTCAGGCTGTTCTTTGAAYATCATTAAGACACTTTAAAAAGTTCTCAAAAGACTGAAGAATTCTCTGCTTCTTTCTCATTCCAGAATATTCCTAGACGTTTCCCAAAACGACAACACTGCACTTCGTCGGATGAACCTGCGCTCCTTCCTCATGGCGCCCCTTCAGCGTGTGACTAAGTACCCACTTCTGTTGAGCCGAATCATTAAGGTTACCCCGGAGTGCCATCCCGATTACGCACGTCTCCGTGAGGCCAAGAGTCGGGTGGAATCCCATCTGGAACACATCAACATGAAGACCAAGCAGGAGGGCAATGGAGTCACATGGTCTCTACGTTCATTCCGTCGGGATAGTCGCAAAAACCGGGAGGTCATAAACATTGAGATGAGGGAGGTGTCCATGAAGACTGTGGGTTGGGCAAGAGAAAACACTAGGTTTGTCATGGAAGGACCTCTCCAGTTGTCCCAACCAGCAGACGGTCAGTGGGTGAAAAAGGGCAGCAAGGCCCTCAAGTTCCAGAACGTGCAGAGTCTTCTGATGGTGAGGACACAGCGGGCTGGAAACTCCCCTGGACAGGATGCTGGTGCACGGGGGGATCAGCCGGAGAGTACTGGGGAGAGCGTTCGAGACGGAGTGCTGGTCCTCATCAAAGACAAGAGCAGTGGGAAGTTCACCGTGCTTAGAGAGCCCATCCGTCTGGGAAACTGCATCGTGTCATCTGATCCGGACTGCGAAGATACGTTTGAGGTTCTCGATATTCGACGGGAGTCTTTTGTTTTCCGTGCCTCAGACAAATCTCGTACCCAGCAGTGGTTCCACCAGATTAAGAGGTATGCTCGAGACCTGGGCACCTGGAGGAAAAGGCGAAATGCTTTGCCCAACATCATGATTAACACAAACCAGGCGCGTTCCTGAGGCCTAGCATTCACACATCTTTGTTACACTGTAAATAACCCAAACGTTTCAACTGCAGAAATCAATGGAAAACAAAAGGTTTCTACACAACATCGCTGTTCAGATGTGCTAGATTTTCAGAGAACAAAACCACAATCGGTCTCACAGTCTTGTGAGAAACCAAAGCACTTTCTTTCGTACAGAGCAGTAAGTGCGCCATGAAATTGTGTACGTAGATTTATTTTAAGCAGTTAATAAAAAAACAATTATACCAGATTCCTGAACGACCAAAAAATCTTGGGCTGTACGAGCCAGCCTTGATTGTACAAGACTGTTTGCTCTTCGGTACTTAAGGTATGTCTGATGAAAAGCATGACTGAACATGATTGAATGCAAAGACAAATTGAAATGTCACTTTTTATACGAGATACTGAGGATTAAAAATACTTKTTTCTTGAAGAAGACGGGAAATGACTTACGGTTTTTGTTCTTTGGTTTATGTTTGTCATCACTGCCCTTTCCTGTCTGTGTGCTGCCCCCTGCTGTACGATGGCAGCATTGCCCCTTTTACTGCCAAAGATGCAGTTGAGTAGCTCCTTTCCAACAGGCTGAATAGACCTCCAGTGTCACTGTGTTTCAATGGGACGTAAAGGAACAGCAATAATATCTGCCAGTTTCTAAACAAGTAGCTACTGTATATGCATTTATTTTCTCCTTTGGAGTTCAGGTGTTAATTGTGGTTTACTGCAGTACTGAGCTTTGTGGTAGATTTCACTGAAGCCTGAAATCTTSTTAGGTTGGTTCTCCTCTTTGAAGCCTTATTTCATCACCCTCAGAAATGAAGAAGTCTCTGTTTCAGTCAATAGAATGGAGATAAACCTGGTGCCATGGAAGCAAGTTTAAAGAGTGTGGTTACTTTCTTTTTTAACATCCATCTGCCACATTTTGAGTCAAGCGCAGCAAAGTTTTTCAACCTCGTGGTCAGTTGGTCYAGTAAAACTCTACAAACATGGAGTCCAATATGCTTCACTGAATAAACTATTTTTTTAACCACTATGATGTAAAACGTGAACAGAAAGAATAAGAAATTGTCATCTCAAAACCTAAAAGACAAAATTATTATCATTATTTTTTTGTTTGTTTTGCTTTTTTTGTGCAACCAAGAGTTTTTCAACTTAGTTGCCTGGATGAAAGCCTCACAGTATGATTTAAAAAATGGTTTCACAGTATTATAGTATTGAGAAAAGTTTGTACATGTACCATGTTGATTTTATTATTATCACAGAAATTACAATAATATTAGATTATAGCTAGTTTCAGCTATAAAAAAATGTATTTATTTAAATCATATTTTAAATTTATTTGTAGTTATGACACTTATTACACACAGACATAAGTAGACCGAGTACCATAGACT